ATTTCTTGTGATCTCTGTGGAAGGCGTGGGATTTACAGCCTTTAGAAGTGAATGTAACACATTAAGTCGTGGCTGGCATCACGATCCAGGCAGTTCCAGTGTCGCAAGGCTTTGTAAAGTTGAAAGAAGGATCGTATAAGCTACTAAAAGTCGCGATTTTATTGTTGCGAAAGATTTATTCATTTGTTTTACGACTCTGTGCTTTGTCAGAGACCATAAACAATTTGTTAAGTTATTCGGATTACGGAAACGTCTGAGGTAATTTATACTCCGCCATAAAATTGCTTCTCTACACGTATAGAGAACATCATTACTTCCAACGTAAAAGAGTTGTTATACACGGAAACAAAGCCTGGATAAAACAGGACGAAAGGAAACACTGAACAGTGGCATATCTGGTTTGGTTCTTAGTTTATTAAGGATGTTATGAACAACACAGAAAAACATTTGAGATATTTCTGCGTGATATATATCGAGTGTGGTCTTCTGAATCGTCAGGACGTGTACGTAGTCAGGGTAGCCTGGAAACTGGTCAAGAAACTCCCCGTGTGATGGAATCCGAAGCTTAATTACCATATCCGAAACAGCCAGCCACTAAACCCTATCTTGGTCGAGATTAATCCATCTTCACGAGGGACTTTCTTGACTAGATCTAATACTTTCGATAACTTCGCTTCGTAACTCACAATTCGCAATGTGAAACAAAAATAAATATTATTTGCATACCATTTACGAAAAGAAGGTTTTTTGATTCTACAATTCGTCAGTTAATAATATGTATTAAAATATTATTATTATTATTTAGTGTTCTGTCTGACGACAGGTCCATATGAACAGGATCCTTCCATCCTTTTCTCGGACTGGGACCTGTTCATATACGTTCTTGGCAGATGATCCAGAAGTGGTTTGCCATTGCCTTCTTCTGTGTGTGAATGGAGTAATTGTTGGGATGCTACGGAGAAACCGGGGAAGCCCCCGGAGGAAAACTCCGTGTTGCCTAGACCACGGCCTTGCCCACGGTATTAGTGAAAATCGTACTGTAATGAAGCACAAACTTTTTAAATTTGTGTTTCGTGTAAATTATAACTTATTCTGGATCGATACGAACAGAAATTAAATCTTCCACAAACTTTTCATAAGTGAAACATGTGGACGGACATGAAATACAGCTTCCGTATTACGCGTTCATGTTATGTCCCTTCGCAAAGCGTCAGGCACATTTCGCTCTGAAGACAAAACAAATTGCAAGTTGCACCGAACACGCTGTCCAGTGCAGAACAGTTGCGGCTTCTATAATCCAGACTGGAAGGAAAAATTCAAACCCGTGCGAGCACCTGCCCTGTCAGATGGAATATTGCGAAATACTGCTGGGGTCACTTGCAGGGTGCGCGCAGTATTGACAGAAATTTGCAATTACAGTGTTGTTTCTCCCTCCTAAAAACTGGGTTGGGGTTACGCCAAGGTGTTCATGGCAGGTGGAGGCGAAGTCCGTCCTGTAAAGTTGGGATTCATTATCCGTGTTCAACGCCGTATGGAGCAGGCAACACACCACATCAACAAGCCTGTAATTTTCACCGGTTTCCATCCCATTTTAATTTTCGTAATAAACAATGAGTAGTAATGAAATTAACTGTAGAATGATAATGTTACATACGTTGCGTCATTCATTCTAAAATTCGTAATTCTCTAGAAGCCATTATTTTCATTTTCGAGGAGTACACTAATATTAAAAGTTTGTTACGAGACACCAGCTTCGATGTAACGAAATATATGGATAATTTATATCTTCTATGTTACGGACGGAATATATCGTTCTGAAACTAATGCTTCTCTTATACGTACGACTGTGGCGTCATCTAGCCAACAGCATCTTTCTGTGTCTTTCTTCTGAATACCTCGGCATTAAATGGATGTTTTTCCTGGGGGTTAACAGGAAATAGCAGTGAAGTCAAACACGAGTCCGCGCCTTCATTTGTCTAGCATTATTACTTAACTAGAGCAGGGCGCTCCTTTCGGAGCTCCTAGTTTGTAAAACGCAACCAACCTTGTGTAAGAAACTAAACTAACCGCCCCGAATTAAGGGTTAAAACAATTGACCAACCCCCCAGAAGGGGGGTTGGTTGCGTTTTGAAATCTTAAATAACACGCTAAACTAACTCCCCTTCGAGGGGTTAGTTTAGTCTCATTCAAGTGTTTTAACCCCTGTGTAAGAAACTAAACTAACCCCCCGAATGGGGGGGGTTTAAACACTTGACCAACCCCCCTTCGGGGGCCAATTGAATAAAAATTTTCTTGGATATTATCCATCGTCTAGTAAATATAAAACGTAAAAAACGTAAAACGACGTTTCGGAGATGGGACTCTATCTCCGTCTTCAGGTTCCTACACAGTTGGGCCCCTTTGGGGGGGGGTTGGTTGCGTTTCAAAATCTTGAGTAAGTCCTACCTGCTGTTTGGTGATGTAGATTGGTTTGTTGAGGATGACCCACGTCACAGTCTCGTGGCACGCTGGCATTGTTGTTGAGCCGTCATATGTCATATAGTAGTCCGTGTCAGGCAGCAGACCTCGGATGGACAGTCTTTTCACTTCAATTTCTTGCCCTGTTGTATAAATGCCAACGATATAATCAGATATCTACAGAGTGTCTCAGTGACCCATTTAAATTCATAAAGTGGAGTATACTAAAATAATATATATTACAACAACGTTAGGAAACTTCTAATTGTTAACATTTTTTATTGCAAGATTATTTAAATTTCTTCTTAATTATTACCAAAACTCCATTTGCAGTTATTGTATCTGACAAAGTGCAGTTAAATAACCTACATATTATCTTAATTACCGCGTGTTTGAAGGTTATAAATGTAGAATCCATAGAAAATGCAGCAATTCAAACGAATATTCATTTGCTTAAATTTTGAAATAAAACTTGATAAATGTTTCTCGTAGCATCCATACATTTACAGAAAAGAATACGTTAATATACCTGTGTTAATATGAGACTACTTTTTATTTTTTTAAAAATTGATCCGTATTCCTGGTGATTTTGAGTTTAGAGATTATTATTATAAATTTTATTAATTAAATCTGAGTTCCGTTTATAAAAGACTGACAAAAATGTAAAATATGTCACATTGGACAGTCTTACTTAACGCAAAGACCATTTTATTAATGCCCACGAAACGAGAATAGAACCCACGATCCTAATGCTCAAGGTAGTAGGCTTTTTAAACAGTGCGGAAATCGCGATTAGCGTACATGGCCTTTGTAATGCGGATAACATTAAAATATTTCGAATTTTATTGTCTGTAATGAGCGGTTCTGAATTTATAGCTTAAAATTTGGATAATGTCAGAATAAAATGAATTTTAAGGACAAGTTTAACTGAAGTAGAACTCACTCACCTCCATATCTGATTTTATCAAGTTGGTCTGTGAGGATCCTGAGCTCTGGATTTGACAGATCACCGAGCTGAAAGAAAAACCAGACGGGAAACAGGCTTAATAAGGCTCTCGCTTGTTAACCGCGTCTGTGGTGTTTCTCGTTTAAACGCAGGTGAGGAGAAAAGGTTTCTTGGACGATGGAAATGTGAGGATGGCAAAAAAGTCTCTCCTATTTCTTCACATCCCTACATTTGTCGTATTTATTTCCGTATTTTCATCCTTGCCCCCTTTTCCTCTAGTTAATTTTTCGTATTCTCTTAGTCTTCTTTACCTCCTGTTCTTGTAATATTCTTCTCTACTTCTGTAGAGTTGGCTAACGATGGATGATTTTATCTTATAGATAATGTTGTGTTCCAGTGCATGGAGTAACACGCTAAATCACGTAACTAAGACAGAAGATCCTTTAATTTTCGTTTTTAAAAACGTTAGCCGGGCCAACACGGTTAACACGCACGTTCGGCCCCTGAACTTAAAAAGTCTTTCGAGATGTTGCAACCCATAATCAGTACAAGAATTATTCGGAATGCGTACTGATGAGCAAAATGAGTTTTGTTGCATAACGCGACCTAAATCATCTCGCTACACTTTTATTCCATTTTCTGAAGTTTGTCGGTATATATTTTTTTTAATTTTAATATCCGTTGACAGATCTCGTCCGTTCACGATATCTGCTACTTACAACAGACTGCCTAATCACAGAAAACATAAATTATTACATGACAAAAAATGTATCCATATAGGAATTAATTTTCACTTTTTCATTTTAATTTCGAAATAATAAAATAAATAAATAGATAACTCGACATTTCATATTCCCAGACCTGTCTTCACCTTCTGGTAATTTCGAATATTCGGCAAGTAGATGTAACCTGCACCCATTTGAGAAATGTAGTATCAGCATTATTAAACTTTCTGGTTTGTTTATATTGAACAGTGTCGGATTCCAGTGACGTGCTCAACCTCCGCTGCAACGCCACGTTGTTCTTGAGCTTCGTTCTTGGGTGGCAGTGCTCTGACATTATATTGTGAATGTGCAAATTGATGGATGGCACATGGCATCGGGGGAGATGCGAACGGCGAGGCTTGGTCTGATTTCAACTCAAATATCGGACGTAATACTAACCGCTTAAAAAACATTCGCTATTTGTTCGAGGTGTGCTGCTCTCAATTGAACAACTGAATTACTTACAAACTCAAAATAATTTTCTTGCACTCACATAGTCAATACTCAGTCTTGCTAACAAATTCCAATGTAAACCTACAAAACTGAGTTTAATCGAAATCCGTTCAGTGATTTCGGAGAAGAAACATATTGACGAAAAGGGGATACGTCCACCACTACGTGCCTTCAATTTTCTGTTTGTACTGAACTCATTAAAACACACACAGACATAAAGAGTCAGTTCCCGTATTGACAGTAGGTCTAATTTGATTTACCTCCGTACTTTAATGGCGTCTAGTTATTGGTTTAAAGTCTCGAAAGTTTGATTTAACATTTCGAAGGCGTAACTTTTGAGTCACGGTAAAATGTTCTGTTTTCCTTTAAATCAGTGGAACCATTTGAAATGCAAGAAAAGGTAATTCTAGATGAAATATTACACCATCATCGTTTCAACAAGACCTTGTTTAGTGCAGTGCATGTTTCAGAACCAAGAGAGAGACTTGCAAACAACATTCATGAAGACAGAAGTTAAGCCAGCAGTGACATATTCTCGTATAACAAACAACTTTGAAAATGACAGTTTAGACATTTCCAGGACATGATTCATGTTTTCCTTTTGTGCTCAAACATTTTACTTTTAGAATCCCGATTAATTAAATGCATGTAACGACGAGCTTCGCCATTTTGTGGAAAGATAAAACTAATTAATTTACGGGAATTACTTCTGAACATAATTGTAATCAACAATTAATAGCCCGCGGACCATCAGTTGAAACACACTCCTATAAGAACGTCAGACTAGTTATTGAGTATGTAAAAAATGTTTTTTTCCTGATCTGGTAGATAAGGTTGTGAACGCTGTCAAGTCCATTGTTGCTAGGGTCTGCATTGTTGTAACAATGGAGCTAAAATTGTTGAGTTACTGCGCCATCAAACATCGTTTCATGCAATGCACAGTGTAAATCACATTAGATAGTACAAAATTTCAGCCCTGACTTTATAAAAGAACGCCTCATGTTCTGCTTTTGTTTAAAAACTCTCCCCTATTCAGTGTTTTGACTATCAATTTTTAAAGACAGGAGCAAAATGGATCCGTTTTCTGTCCCATTCAGCACTCGGTGACTGGCGCTGACAGCCGAATTTAAGTAAACGAAACGAACGCGTAATTCATTTCGAATGGACGACTATTGCCTCTGAAAGTGAAACGGTGAGCTATGGTAAGAGAAATATAGAACACGTTAGGAAAAAAAAAACCTGTTGTGCTATTATTTAAAATCAACAAATCATTTCTAAGCTTTGTTTCTGTGTTGGCAATCGAATTCTAAACTCTAGTGAGATCATACATAACAATGGCGAATGCTAGTCTAAAAGTCTGGTCGTACAAAAATGCAATTTTATTAAATTATTCCAAAAACTTACAGCAATACTTAACAATAACAATGAAGCTGTTGTGTTATATAGTAACGCTCATATTTCCTAGCCAGACCGGAGAATTCGTCGCCGACAATCGACTCGCATTTACAACAATGCACGACGTCACTGTTCAATAATACCAAAATCGATATTTTTACCGTAATGAAAACGTCAAAATCTTTACCTTACCCACACACACACACACACACACGTATCTTACCTATCAAACAATCTACCCGATCATCAGTCTCATTATCTCTACCCAGTGACTGTTTTACGTACCTACTTTATCTGTAGATTTATTCATTTTTATTTCATCTATTCTTGATTTATATTCTTATATTCATGATCATCTTTCAGTTTCATTCGACACCAAGAAACATAGTATCTTCATTCAATAGCATACGATTCAATTATTTATTATTTGAAGCCTATAACTTACCACCTTGACGGTAAGAAGTGATTTCGTTCTTAAACGACTATACTTTAAGGTAAAACTTCTGTGGTTAAATCCACGCCATGGAAGCGAATTGGAAGGACAGAGGTGATACTCTAACTGTTTTCAACCTCGGCATTATATTGGCCAGGTTCATGCTCCGTCCGCTTTATCGCGAACCTCTAGATGGAAAGATAACCCCGATTCGTACTGGGTGTTCCCACAGGAGGTCTGGACGCGGTGACGAACAGAAGAAATTCCTGTTCCTGACAGGAATCAAAACCCTGTAGTGACTCGGTTTATAACAAAATTGGCATGAATCGGGTATGAATATGGCCACATTTCGAGTCTTACTCTGATAGCGTCACTGGAGCAACTGAGTATTTAATCAGAGTCCAGTTATTGGTCTGTAATTAATTAAATTGACGTTTATATTGGCAACACTTTGTGATACAACACGTCATCTGTTGGATTTATAAGTATTATTCATTTGTCTTCTGAAGAATATTATACGCGTATGATATATCGTAATTTTCATTATTGAAATCGACTGTCATGTATTTGCAGTTTCCGCTTACTCAGTGAACAGCTCTGTAATAAAACATCTGAAGTGTGCACACTGAATTTACTCTGAGTGTATTGTGTAGAGGAATGAGTGAAGGAGAGGTCCCTTGGACAACAGAATACGACATGCACTTTGCATAATGATACTGAAGCTTCCCGGTGGACACAAGTTCTCAATTCTGATTGGATGGAAAGAGATAGCTGGACGAAATCAGTCGAAGGACCGTTATTTTACTTTGCTTGTGGTGTCCGTATTTTTACTGTATTAGTTTAGAAATCTTTCTACGATAAATTTAAACATATCCGAATTTCAAACGTACTTAAATTAATTTGGAAATGGTTTCAATATATTAATAATATAAATAATTTTTAGAGAAGATATGCTGTTTCATTCGGACTGTTTGTCTGTCTGTATGATGATAAAGCAAATAAGTTTTAAAATAGAGTTTTAATATTGTATATTTAGTCAAACAACCACGTAATTTGGGCAGTGAGGCCAAATGAAATAATTAATAAAATGAAAGAAAATATTTATCTCCGCTTGAAATAAAAAGTTGTCAGTGGAACCACGATTCCGGAGAATTTGACGTAAATATGTCTATACGGAAAGGAAGTTTATATATTGGCTTTATTCTAAATATTTCCTTTATACATGCTTTGCAATTGAGTAAAGTTTGATTAAGACATTGCTTATTCAACTTGAATTAGTAACGCTTAAGATGGGTCTGTGGTAGCTGAATGTAATGTAAAGTAATGTAATGTAAGCTTAGGTAAGGTAATGTAAGGTAATGTAAAGTTTGACGTTTCCTAGGTAACATAAAAATGAAGTTACACTTTTTCGTTACATTTTTGCCGAATGACACTGACCCTAAAATCTAGACGTATTTACGTCAAAATTACAAAGCGTGACCAAGCGTGACTACGCGTGACCAGGCATAAAGTTGTGACGGGAGGTCGTCATAAGTGCTAAAATACTGCGAAGATTTGAAAAGTGTGTCTAAGCGTGACCAAGCGTGCTCAAGCGTGACAAAGCGTGACTAGGCGTGACGAATTGTAGCCACAAGTGTCAAAACGTCACAAAAATTTTCAAAACATTACCTAACCTAACAAAATTCACTGAACAAACTTAACCTAACCTAACCTAACATAACCTGACCTGACCTAACCCATCCCATCCTAACCTGTCGTAACTCCATCTAACGTATCACAAAGTGGCCAGAATTAACCGAGCGGAACGTAACATGACATAAGCGTGCCGAAGCGTGACTATTCGTTACGTAATGTCATGGCATGTCGAGATGTGGCCATAAGTGTCGAATGACACTGACCCTAAAATATAGACGTATTTACGTCAAAAATGTTAGAAGTGCCTACATAACCCAGAAAAATAACAACTTACCTGTAGCAACAAAGAAATGGCGACAATGCCTTGCGCTCGGTGCAGAGCTTCAGAAAAATTGGAGTAGAGCTGAGAATTGAAGCCGAACACTTGAATCTGGGAAGAAGAAAAACAACAACAAATAATTACAGATCTTAGAATATTCAAGTTGTGTGCGCGTTAAGCTTTGCCTATAAAGAGAACTGAAATCAGTAAATTCACAAACATACGAAGTGCTTAAACGCGCATCCACACGACATCGCAATGCAAGTGTAAGTGAACGAACGCAATGACGCGAGAAACGACTGAGCGTCGGCTTGCGGACCTAGCGAAATTCGACATAATGGATCTGTGCTGGTCAGCAGATTCACGGTACACAATTTCATTTCTTCCTTTCATTCCATCTACTTGATTCCCTTCATCAATACAAAGCAGACAAGAAGTGCCATGTATGATCTCCTTCGCCTCCTACTTCAAACAAACAAACAAACAGACAAACGTAACGGAGAACGTGTGTGCCGTGTACACCAATCGTGACTTTAAGTGTCTTCGTCGCTTCTCAGTTAGGTTTCTTATTAAAATCACATTAATTTTTAAAAGAATTTATGATATTGTCTCATCCTTTTAGCATGTTATGACCCACTGAAGCATAAATTTAATTTAAATTGTATTTAAATATTCAATTATAACCTCATAGAAAACATAAATATTCTCCATTACAGTATTAATATGACGGATTTATCGAATCAAAGATCGATCCAATATATTCCAACACCAGAACCTCATTTTTACTTTTCGTATAGTGAATTACTTTTCTGGAACCCGGTTCTTGCCTGGCCTGTCAAAGAAGTTTACATGGTGTTTTAAAATAAAGACAGATGCGTCATTGTTACGAAGTTTGTACAGAATGGACAGCCATGTTGTATTCGTCTCCATACAAACTCATCGCAGAAATCATGTGTTTCCTCAATCCGTCAATTCGCGTGCTACCAGGCCACTCCGTCATGTAACTCCATCAATTCTCACGCCAAGTAAATATTATCTTATTTTCCTCTCCTCCTTAGCGTCTTGGGGAAATCTCCCTACAGTGCAGAACACCCACTGTAATCCTTCAGATGTTTAGCTTAATATGTTGTTGGAATGTACCATACACACTTTTGTCTCTCAGTTTTAAGAAAGAAACGACGGAAACTATTTGAATATAAGGGGAGAAATGTAAGCTCTAATGAGGTATTATAAAGATGGTAGCTCCAAAACGTCGGTAACTATATAGAAGACATGGCGTTGCACCCAGAAGACCACTATCGACATGTCCGCCACTACGAGAATCTCAGATCCTGGAAGTATTTTAAAAAAGGGTTCTCTGCGAATTCATATGTGTCAGTAGTGGTGACGTTAATTTATAGTCGATTCTAACTCGTTGCTAGGTTACAAACCTAATCACAGGTGTGTATATCACGTAGCATAATCAGAAATGAAGTTCACGCATTTAATTAAACACTCACTTTACTCGTATCGAAACAATTTTCAAAACAAATGTTTAGAAGAAAGATTTATATGTTTTTAAATTTTTAATTCTTTATGTAAAAAAGAGGAAAATAGGAAGATCAAGAAGTCGATGGATGGACCAATTTTGATCCTCTAAATTCGGAACGGGCTTGACAGCACCAAATCCATGTCAAGAGAGAACAAAAAGTATTTCGCTTCAAGTAAGGTCAGCTAAGTGCATTTACTTTGTTTCATTTAGAAAAAGAAAAATATTTTCATCGTTATCAATTATAATAAAGTTAATTGTATTTTCAAGATAACTTTCCTATGGAAAAGGGGAAGGAACATTCGTTTTGAGTTGGTATTACTGCGTGGTCAGTTTAACGGCAACCGTGGACAATGACAGACAGACGACAGAAATGCTGTCAGACGAATGTTTCTGAAACGAGGGATACAAACCCCGACGTCAATATGTAATATTTTCTCAATTTGCACGAGAGGAAAATCTTATTTTCACTCATGTTTGTATTTTCGTAATTTTTTTATGATGAACGAGGGAACGGGGGGGAGGGAATGAAATCTCTGAAGTCATGGAAAGGCGGCGTCACAGGGGGAAAGGTTCCTCGGTTGTTTCTGCGCGGTGCGCCAAGGTGGAATGATGTAACTTCTCCATTCGCTTTTACTTTCTTCGACCTTCCTGCCTTGTCTCTATTATCTAATCCGGTGTTAATTTTTCAAAGTCAGTTCTGATCTGTAGCTATTGTAATTTCAACCCTAGGACGATTCAATCAATCACTCTACACCATCGACACAGCTAACAGAACAGCGCGTGTCAGTTGGATGAACCGGCTGACTGAATCACTAACCACGGAACGAAACTTCATTTTATGGTAGAGACAAGCTAACAAGTTCGTGATATTTGGTTGTATGGTACAGATCACAGTTACAGAGTTCGTCGACAATACAGATGGAACTTAAAACGATGCAGTGCAAAATATATCGTTTGAAGCTGTTAAGAAACGACAAACAATTACGATACAAAAGAATAACACCGACACAAATGTTCCAAAGGGATTCCAGTAAACAGCAAACGGGAAGACGTGGCTGTTTTGAACCAGGTGACAACAATATTCTGCTACACTGTTTCCTAGGAAACTGACGCCACAATAACGCGTAGGTGTGGAGGTATTTCCGGTTGAGCGTTCTACTGTTCTTGCACGGACCAAGGCAGGCGTACAGAGAAGAATGCTAGTGAACTGCATTCCACTTGTACGAGGCGCCAACTATTTCACCCGCAGTCAAACAGCTTAATACAGTTCAACACTGTAGTTTATCACTAAAGACACTGGAGAGAGGTCACTCGGTGCCTGTTTACAGACTGGGCTCGACCTGACTGATGCAGGTTTTGAGAGCAGCGCAGACAGAACAAAGCAAAACATAACGAAAGAAATAAAAAGGAATAAAAGAAAAATTTACAAAAGAGAACGAAGAATAACGGCCAAGTGAAATATTAACTACGGTGTTTTATAACTCCATGGACCAGCTAGTCAAAAATTACCTCATTTTATTAAGTTACGACTATTCCCGACCCAGTCTGATAAATCCAGTCTATATTCTTATATCATGCTTTTTAATATTATCCTCCCTTAAACTACTGAGTTTCCACAAGTGGTTGCTTCCCCTCAGGTGTTCTAACCAAAACGCTGTATGCAAGAATAATGACGCTTTCTAGACTGCAAACTGGATCAGACGGAAGGAAAGCTATGAAAATAGGCGTGGAACTGGTCGTGGCCCATTTTGGGACTCTGTTCCTAGCATGGATGTAATAGAAACGTTGAGCACGTGAGGCATAATAGTAGTTGTCTCGGTCTGCAGTCGAACCTGAGACCCTATGCACACGTTCGGTATTAATTCTGAATATCTCCAGTAATGATCATCTCAGTCATTCTAGTCCTCACAATACAGGCAGATCGCATAATCCCCTTTGTACGATAATAGTAATTGATCCCAGAGAAGATACATTCCGATTCACTGGTTGGTACTACTGCTTCTTACTCAGTAGGACTAATGTTCGATTCTGGGTCAGGAATTATAATTTGGTTTTACTCACATATGCAAGGAATATATAAAAAAAAAATTTTTACACGACCTTAACAATAGTTCTGGTATTTAATCCTACATAACCTGCACAGTTAAAAAACACGTCGTTTAAGTATAAAAACTGGTTTAACCGACGATTATCAGATATTCAATCATTCAAATGGCTTCCGCCACTGAAATAGCTATAAAGTCAATTTAAAATAGTTTAAATATATACTGCAAATTATGTGGTTACTGGATATACGATGTAAATATATTTGAGGCGGCCTAATTATATTCAATGTAGATGTTTCGGAAAAAAAAACAGAAACAATAATTCAAAATACTTTCTTGCGAGTGTTAAATCTCTGAGCACGAAGTTAATCAAAACAATTTTTAAACACTGATTTCCTGCGTCAAATTTTTTTCACTATTACAAACAAAATTTGCTTAACGCTGTTCAGGGAAATCACCGCTACTCATTTTTAGAGTAATAAAATACTGATAAATACAGCGCAGTACAAAATTCTGGGTTGCACATACGTCGTATAAATACCAAGGTGCTTTGACGCACGAGTTCTAAGCAGGTATGATCAATAGTCAGGTGTTTCTGAACAGGCTTTACCCAATTCATTGCTAAAGGCATTTCGAAGTCAGTCATGTCATGGAGAGTTCCAGCAGTGATCCCAGCGAATATGCTATTAATTTCCTCTCTTGATCTCTTCCACAATGAATACGTACGTGACCGGAGAATGACAGAGAGGTAACAGGATTGAAAATCGCACACTTGACTTAGCATAATGAGCTGAAAGCAAGTCTGCTAAAAACAGACACATAATATGCCAAGGAGGAAGATATGTACTGGATTTGGAGTCTGCATATTCTCCAAAAATCCTACGTTCACAGCAAAGTTGGCAGAAGGAGGAGATTTCAGAGTGGTCGAAACTCCGAAAGTGTCCTAAAGTCGAGTCCTGGTAAGGATACTTTATTCAACTCAGAAACTAAGCATGACAGAATAATTAATATCAATATAAAACAGAATAAGCAAAATTTGATGCTCAGATAAGTATTGGCTGCCAATGTACAGTACGCAGACGTGTAGAGAATTATATATATTTACATTTATATTTGTATTTGTTTATGTCTATTTAATTTGTACCAGCAATTGGCGAATATTATTCTCTTGGGAATTACGATACACTGCATGCTGAATTTTCTTAAATCACTGGTCAGAAATAATCTGAAAATGTTTGTGGACCAGTGGAACAGATCAACTGAAGCGCAAATAACAATGCAGGTGGAAATTTTACATGAGAATTATATGCAGATAATAAATAGACTGTGACATCTGTAACAAGGTCGGAAAGATCTGTTCCCTGAACAGAATTTTACGTTGTGTCTAAAAAAGGAGGTTTACAGAGGAAAAGATGTAGGCCTGCAAATATACTCCAATTTACTTGGAAGCTTCGTTTATGGAAAAAAAAACTGCGTGTTGCGAATACGCGTGAATCGGTTACTGTTTGTTCATTGACTAAATGTTAAAAATAACG